GTTAGAGAACAATATGGGAGCTTGTCTGAATCAGTAACAAGATGCCACATATGTTCCCTAAGCTTGTGTAACACACCACCCATTTCAATAAATAAACCCGCTCCAGTGCTGTGTCACCGAGGACAGGCTCAGGTCTGTGCGTGGCGTCATTGGGGGAGACAGAGGGCTGGGCGGGGGGCCCGGCCTCGCCGCGTCCTCCCCGCGACCCCACCCGGGGCCAGTGGCTTCGGGGCCCTTGGGGCTCCGGTGACGGGAACCCCCGGGGCTCCGGGGCGGCCGTCTGTCCTCCAGTCTGCCCACAGGCTCTGAGGGCTTCACCGCAGTCCACCCTGGATCGTTTCCGGGTGGGTGCAGAGCAGGGGGAAGTGCTGGGGACATCTTTTGGGTGACATGATGGGTCTGAGCTCTGTCTTGGTTTTGATGCAGGTGTCAGCTCTGTCCTTGCAGAGGCGTCTCTGCTGTCCGCACCCAGACTGCCTGCAGCATCCTGACTGTCCCCCGGCACGTTCCTGCCATCTGAGCTCCACCCACTCCGACATCCCGCGCTGAAATACCTGAGAGAGACCGAGGCTCCCCTGGGCGCCGCACACCAGTCCCGGCCGCTGCCACTCAGGATGCGGAGCGGCCACCCGGCGCCCCGAGGTGCCAGCTCGTGGGGCTCGGTGGGTGGCAGCCAGCACCGCCCACGAGCTGCTCCACCACTGCCGGGGAGCTCCACGGCCCGGCTGACAGTACCAGGATTTCTCAAAGTGGCTTGTGTGTCTTTCCCAGGTGAACGTGCAAAAGGCAAAGGGGAAATCACTCTTTTCAACACAGGATCCTTTATTTGAACTCTTCCTTGAAAGACAGTTTGTGAAGGACTGGCCCAGCCTCCCTCCACGGGACTCGAGGGGTCAGTGCTCCTTAAACCTGCAAGAGGAGGGGGAAACAGCAGCTGGTCTCCCAGCCTGCAGCGCTCAATTCACGCCCAAAGCGCAGAGCCTGGAGCTTCTCCCTTCCTGTCCTGAGGCCTCGGGGACAGAAAAGGGGAGAGGACACAGGAAGGGGGAGCAGGGCCAGGCTGAGCCTGGGAGCTGCTATGTTTGTCCGAAAGCTGCAGCTCAAAGAGCAGAAAAGAGGCAAATTTCCCGCACATTTTTTCACTCCATTTTGAGGAGAGGTTGCCGGTATCGTATCCACACCAGGTATTGATTAGGAAAGGAAAAATGAGCGTGAATGAGGCGTGCAGTGCCAGGGACCACGGGTGAGCTGTGGTCTTTTAGGAGAAGCAGGTGTGGCAGCAGACAGGCCGGGCTGGCGCTCAGAGGGTGAGGGGTGCAGGGGGCAGGGCGCACTTACAGAGCTTGGTTTCCCGTCGCCGACCCCGGGCAGCTCAGCTCCTTGTGTATGAGGCGGAGCAGGAACTGCACCCAGAGCAAAGACAAGGCCATGGTTACTGCTGGGAGACCCTGCGGGTGGTGCCCTGCTGTCAGTGGGAAGGTGCCAGAGCAGCCCCGCCCCCTGGGAGCCCAACCCCGCAGGCGCTCAAGTTCACCGTGTCTGCGGCTCTCCCGTGGGGCACTGGGGACCGGCTGCCCATGGAGGGGCCTCTTCCTCAGAACGTAAAGACCTTAAAAGCCTCAAGCAGAGCGGTGAGAGTGCCCCGCACAGCTGCCCACGGGCCAGGTCCCAGGGCAGGACTGCTGGGCACCGAGTCCCGTGTGTCACTGCGGTGACCGTGCTCCTGGGAATAAAGCCCTTAGGACAGATTCCAGCCAGAAGGAATCTGGTTTAAAATGAAACCAGTCCAGTCATAAAGTGTCCAAATGGGAAAAAGACAGAGAGTGAGGACAAGGTGACCCATGGTCACGGTGACACTGGGGGAGACCAGGGTAACGGAGCACCAGGCGAGGGTCCGCAGCCAGCAGCACCGGAGGCTGCCCGGCCATCCTTGGAGCAGCCCTGTTTCACGGGGTAGCTTCTGCGAGAGCCCTGGCCCTGCCGCCTCAGGGCCTGCTGGTCGCCCCACCAACTTCTCAGACGTGACAAAAGCAGCCGTCTGTGTGCACTGCCCAGCAGGGAGAGGGCCTCTTGGCCCCAGAGCCCGCCCAGGTGGCTGCAGCCCTGTGTGACGGGGGTCAGAGGGAGAGGGGAAGGCCCGGGGCTCGGAGAGCAGGGCCCCAGGCGTGATCACAGCCAGTCCGCCGGCCCCCAGGGTCACCTGCCGGGTTCGTGGAGGTCCAGCCTCAGACGTGGAAGGTGAAACTGGCCTACTGACCCCAGAAGAGGCGAGGCATGTCTGGTCTTTTTTTCTTTTCTTTCGGTACGCGGGCCTGTCACTGTTGTGGCCTCTCCCATTGCGGAGCACAGGCTCCGGACGCGCAGGCTCAGCGGCCATGGCTCACGGGCACAGCCGCTCCGCGGCATGTGGGATCTTCCCGGACCGGGGCACGAGCCCGTGTCCCCTGCATCGGCAGGCGGACTCCCAACCACTGCGCCACCAGGGAAGCCCGTGTCTGGTCTTTAAGGCTGAAAAGACTGTCCTCAGTGGAACCACCGATCCGTCTGCTGGCTGTCCTTCTGGCTCTCTCTCCTGCAGCGATTCTGGCTGTAGTGTCTCATCTAACCTAGCCGGGGCCTCGGCCTCGCAGTTGTTTGCCTGTCATGTGTTTTCCCTTTCGTCTTTTCTGACATTTCAGGTGTGTTTCCTGTAAGTAACTGGAGTCGGGGTTTCCAAGCCAGTCTGCCGTCTGCTGGTGACCACAGACCCGCTGGGATCCTCTCCCACACCCCTCACTCCCAGCTCTTTTCTCTTCAATGACTGCTTCGACCTCAGGTTCTCCAGTTTCTTCCTCTGGGACTCCTGCTGGACGGTGCCGGGCCGTCTCATCTGAGCCTCCAATCTCTATCTGCTCCCTAGTATTTTCCATCTCCCTCTTTCTGGGCTGCATTCTGGATGGTTTCCTTATACCTGTATGTCACCAGCTCTGTCTTTTTTAGTTGTTCTTGGCACGTGAATTCAGTTCCTTCTTTGCCATCTTCAGTAATTTTTTTTCATCTTTTTAAAATTGGAGTCTAGTTGATTTACAGTGTGGTGCCCATCTCTGCTGTACAGCAGAGTGACTGACTCAGTTATACACATAGAGACAATCTTTTTTTATATTCTTTTCCATTATGGTTTATCCCTGGGGGTTGGATATAGTTCCCTGTGCGCTACAGTAGGTCCTTGTTGCTTATCCATCCTCTGTATAATCGTTTGCGTCCGCTGACCCCAAACTCCCAATCCTTCCCTCCCCCACTGCCACTCCCCCTTGGCCATCAGAGTCTGTTCTCTATGTCTGTGAGTTTGTTTCCGTTTTGCAGATAGGTTCATTTGTGCCATATTTTAGATTCCACATATAGGTGATATCATATGGTATCTGCCTTTCCCTTTCTGACTTACTTCACTCAGTATGATCATCTTAGTAATGTTACAAGTGTTTATTTTTACAGTTTATGCGATAACCCTTTTACCTGCCGTTTGGGGGTCTGTTTGTTGTGCCTGTCACTCCATCACAGCGGGCCGTTTCCTACTGTTTCCTGATTTGGGAGTGTGAGCCCATCTGCAGCTGGGTGTTAGAGGCCCCACGCGGCGGGGGGTGAACTTTGTCCCTCTCACATGGTTTGGGACTTGCTTCTGCCAGAGAACCAGGTACATCACCACCCTAGAACCAACTTTACTTAATTTTTTGTAGGTGTTATGTAATATTTACATAATGCTAAGTTAAAAAATGGAAGGTTACTGTAAGCAGGTCCATGGCTAAAAGTTCTCAGGGAAGACTTCCCCCCAGTCTGGTGTGTGGGCTGAGACGGCACACATCCTGGCTGTCTTCTGTACCAGTGTGCAAACGTGCATGCTTTCACTACACGCAGGGACCCCCGATGGTCCGGGCTTGATGAGGGGTCTCCACTTCCAGCTCCGCATCCTGGGCCAGCCCAGCACCCTGCCTCTTAGTCCCAGGGCTGTGGGAGGGGAGGCATAACCACCCAGCCCCTCAACTGCTGAGACCGACGACTCACCCTGGCTGCTCCAGCATCAGCCTGGGTACTTATTTTAGTTATCTTTACATTCTGGGGTCCTGGGGATATCCTTTCCTTTCTTACGAGTTTAGCTGCGCTTTAAAAGGAAGTTTAGTGTGTATATTACCTGGTATTTCTGAAATTGAAGTGTTTTCAGCCTTAAACAGCCATAATGATGGGAGTTTCACTGCTACTTGGCGGAAATGATTTGGGGACGTAATTGAAGAGCTGCTTTTAACACCTAGTAACAGGTTCATAAGTTGAGAGTCGGTATTTGATTCTGTATGAAATGGGGGGAGCTGTGTCTTAGGGCTTCCGGGAATGAAAATATAAAGGTTTCATTTAATCGATGGAGTTGATATTTCCAAGATCCTCAACCCATTTGTAACGGGATCAACATTCGGTTTTCCGGGTGACGCGAGAGGAGACGGTGGCTTCAGGTCCGGGCCCCTGTGCGGGGTGACCAGTCGGGGAGGCGCGGTGGCCACTCTTGCAGGTGGCTGCTGCAGGGCTGTGCCATCGGGACCGGCCTTCTCCATCCCGGGGAAAGCCTCCGACCTTCGCGTGCAGGAGGGGACGGACGCAGGGCGCAGAGACCACAGTGCTCAGCGCTGCGTGGGCGGCCCTGGCTCCTGTTCTGAACTCTAGAACAGTTTGGGTGCGGGAACCAGCTGCTCCCCCAGTGCGGCCGACTGGGGGCAGGAGGCGTGTGGGAGCAGTCATGGCACCGGGTGGGAGGCCAGCTCGGTGCACCATCCCCTTTAATCCCCACAGTAAATCCCGTCCCTGGTGCCGTTATTCTGCCCACTTCACAGGTGCATGCTTCGGAGCAGAGGGGCTCAAGAACCCGCCCGAGGCACACACGGGCCCCCTCTCAGCCTCTTTCCCAACCTGCTGGAAACCACCTGCTGCTGCTTCGGACATCTGTTTAAACCAGAGAAAGGGCCTAGGACCACGAACATTTAGGGGTCTGTCACCGGCCCAAACTCTGCCAAGAGCCCCAGGAGTCCGCAGGAAAAAGTGCCACCGGTGTTTGGCCGACAGCCACAGAGACACTCGTGAAAGCTGCTTGGCTGAAAAGCAAGATGACTCACCACTAAGGCACAGGCGTCTGCAAACATCAGCATATAGAACACGTTGCTCCATCCCGACGGGGAGAGGAGCCCGGCCAGCAGTGGGCCCAGTGCTGCTCCTGGAACGAGGCAAAGGGACACGGGTGGTGCTGTGTGCAGAAAACTCTGCAACATGACCACCCAATATACCCAGGCCCAGTAGATATACGGGAACGTGCTCAACACCTTACTCCTAACTTTAAAAAGCACGTTAAGGGGACTTCCCTGGCGGTCCAGTGGTTAAGACGTCAAGCTTCCACTTCAGGGGGGATGGGTTCGATCCCTGGTTGGGGAGCTAAGATCCCGCAAGCCATGGAGCATGACCCCAAAAAAGAAAAACCACGTTAAACGCTAAAATTTCACTCTCACCTGTCAGATTGATAAGCGATTAAAAAAAAGCCTGGTACTTGTACTGGTGAGGGCAGGATTGGTACAAGCCTTTTTTGGAGGCAAATCTAAAAATGTCTTCACTTTACAATATCCATTCTTTTGACCCAACAATCCCATTAAAAAATTATTAAGGAGTCAGAACCTAATGCACAACCTTAGATATTCTTATGCTATAAAAATATTTGGTTAAATATGGATAAGGTTCATAGATGTGAACACTCTATCACTGTTAACTTCCTGATTCTGCTCATTGTACTGTGGTTACACCAGGAATTCCTTGTTTTGGGGGAATACATGCTGAATACATAGCTATTGGTAAAAGGGGCAGCATGTCTGCAATTTACTCTTAAGTGGTTTGGGAAAAAGCATGCACGTGTATATTCATAAGTATACACGCATGTGTGTATACATATGCGCCCGTGTGTGGGTGTGTATGTACAGAGACAGGGAAAGGGAGGGAGGGAGAGGGAATGATAAAGCAAATGTGGTTTCTTTGTACTATTTTTGAAACCTTTTTGTAAAGTCTCGAATTATGTCAAAATAATTTTTTTAAAAACGATAAAACAAAAGAAAGCAAATATTCCTCAAAATATCCAGAGATATCTGTTTGAGAATATTTGTTGCAGCAGTTGTTTATTTTCCTAAGAGAGACTGGAGTAAGTTATGAAACGCGTGTAGGATGGCTCAGTGGCTTGGAACAGGAAGAAGCATGGAGAATTCACACCAAGTTACTGACTGAGATTTAACCTCCGAGGGAGGTTGATGAGGGTCTTTCCTACGTTTTAAGCGTTCACAAGGAGTGCTTACTACTTTTATAATCGGAGAAGCAATTGTGTTTTTTGAAAGTCACAGAAGGACTCCAGGTAAACGTGGCTTGTTCCCACGTGCTTATCTCTTCCCTCCCAAACACCCCAGGATGAACCATAACTGAGTTAAAAAAAACGAAAAGCCACAAGGAGACGGGAAGGCGCCGCTTTTGAGGATGGGATTTAAAGGGCGTGACTGGCACAGTTTTCCTTGCTCACGAGAAGGGGCCGGGGACTCCCAGCTCAGAGCCAGACTGCCAAGCACGAGGCAGGGGAGGAGGGAAAGTAGGAGAAAACGGGATCTGGCTGAGACTCTTCTGTCATGAACTGTTAGATACGACCCTCCAGCCCCCCGATCCCAGGTTTCTCCTCCTGAGCATCACTACTCACTACTCACTACTCACACCCACACCCCAGGAGAGCAGAAGTTTAACCTTGCCTCCCAGTGGCAAGAATGCTGGCAGTGAGGTCACAGCCCTGTAGGTCCTGGGGTGGGGGGGGTCTCCTCCTCCAGACCCCAGTCGGACCCCAAAGACCAGCAGTTGACATGCCCGCCGTGCAGAAAGGGCTTCTGACGAGTTCTTAGTGGCTCCGTCTTAAATATGAATATATGTTGGGATGGCCAAGGTTCGCCGGTGTAGAGGAAAGCCTCAAGGTGAAAGCAAACACGCTGGGAGGAGGGGGAACCTGGGGGAAATAAAGAAACTGTGGAGAACATTCCCAGGAAAATGTCATCCTCAGAGAACTAACAGAAAAGGAAGCTGAATCATGCGAAACTCCCACTCCCGCGTCTGCAAACCACCCAGCTTCAGCAAGTTCACAGCATTCAATCTCACAACACTGCATCCAAGAAGTAAGAACAGGACGCGCTGAAAGGGCAGAATGACACTAATGAATATAACATTGTGATGCCTGAAATAAAAAGTTCAGTACGGAAGTTGGAAAGGAAAGCCAAGAACATCTCGGAGAAAGTAGAGGACAACAAAGACATCGTCAGGGAAAAGGAAAAAAGAAAATTGAAGGACGAATCCAGCAAGTTAAACATCCAACTAATGGGTTTTCTAGGAAGACAAAAACAGGAGACGAGACTTGTCAAAGAGAAAACACAGCACACTTTCCCAGGGGTGCAGGGCATGTGTTTCCAGACTGGGTGGGCCCCAGGTGCCCAGGGCACGGGGGATGCAAAGAGGCCGCAGAGGTAAAGTGAGCCTGGGGGCCTCCAAGAGGAAAGACCAGAGGTCAGAGGTGGAGGCCTGGGCTAAGGGTGACAAGGGGCTTCTCTGTGGTGACAGCGGGAGCTAGAAGACACTAGAATTCTGGAGAGAAAGGACTGTCAGCTGGAATTCTATACCCAGACAGACTATCCACCAAGGGAGAGAACTGAATCCAGACCTCACAGACTCCCGAGCTCTCAAATCTGCCTCCTGCAAACTATTCCTTGGAAGCTACTAGGAGACGTTTTCCACCAAAGAGAAGTAAACACGGGATCTAGGAAACAGGGGTCCACCGTGGGCAAGACATGAAAGGGGCTTGCAGGAGGGCAGTACAAGCAGCTCTGGGATGAGAGCCGTGTCCTAGGCAGAGCACAGGGGTCGCGTGGCTGCAGGGCCCCTCGCAGGCTGCCGGCCACGCTGGAGAGGAAGGAACAGCCGAGACAGAAATGAAAACAAGAGGGAAAACAGGGCGTTTGTTACTTTGGGGAAAAACAAAAATGTGCATATTAAGGGTGTACAGTTAAAGTTTATTTCTGGGCTCAAGCGTGAGCGATGTTAAGCAGTCAGGATGGCTGGGGAGGACGAGAGGAGGGGCCGTGGGGAGCGGGGTCCCCAGCTTCCTCACCAGGAGGACAGCAGAGAAGGTCAAAAGGTGATGGATCAAGAAACATGTGAATGTGTATGTGGGGAAGACTGGAAAGAATGGTCGAAAGCGATGGCTTCTAGAAAGAGGCGGCGGAGGGGGCGTGGGCAGGGGACTGTCATTTTGCATTATAATACGTTTCTAAGACTACTATCTGGTTTCTAAAGTAACACTGTGTGTTACTTTGAGAAAATAAAAATTAACTTGAAGAAATTCAGGGCTCTATTTAATCGCTCTGCATAAACACATAGGAACAGCCAGCCTTGCAGCCCACTGGGATGCAGTTCTCAACCCTGTGAACGCCACCAAACGCATGAACTGGTGTCCCTGCAACCGTCTGGCTCTGGTGAACTGCGAGAAGGCACCAGCTCGTTCACAATTAGTCGAGCTCTGTCTCCGTCGGAACCAACATCATTTAAAAAATACATCAAGGTAAACGCCCTTGTGAACAGAATTTCTGCTGGAACAGTGTGCATTTTCCGCTTGAGGCTGGCTCTGCTTCCATCTACTTGGGCAGCACTTAAGCAGAGAAACAGTGGGGGAGACACAGCGGGGGACGTGCCTGCCTGCCGTTTCCATGGCAACCACCTCCTCTGTCCGGTGCACTGGGGCTGCCAGAGCCCATGGAGTCCGAGGCTCAGCCAGACCCCAGATGCAGGACCTGCAGCGAGCGCAGAGGTCAGGGATGGTCTGAGTTAGCCTCTGCCCTCCTTCTGTGAGGGGTGACAGGTGTCCAGAGCTGGGCTTTGGTTCCTCCTGCAGCTCAGAGCCTGCCCCCGATTAGAGACGCAGAGTCTCTAGCCTGGGCCAAGAACTTCTGCTTCCCTCTTGTTTTGAGAAGGTGAACAAGAAAAATGTGTTCTTTAGGCTACGTCATAATTTCCTTCTGTTCAACCCCCCAGCTTCTGCTTTAAAATGCAATCGGGGCTGCCGGCCAAGCCCCCAATCTGCTGTCAGAAAAGGGTGCCCCAGTGGGCGCTGGACTGACTCAGACAGAGGCCTCTGTGGACAGAAGGTAGAGAGGATGCTGCCGGGTCACACAGCCCCTCAGAGCCGTGCTCAGCCCAGGAGTCTCCCGACAGTGCATCTTCCGGGCCGTGGGAAACTTCTCAGGGGCCATCACAGGCCACGTGAGCCCGGCGGGGCGTGCTGGCAGACCACGGACACCCGTCACACGGCACGGCCCCCTGCCCTACCGCCCTAACCCCAGACCTGTACCCCAGCTCCCAAGAGGTGCCCCCGAGGGGATGTTCTCATCGAGAACATCAGAGTGGTGAGACCACTATCACAGTGCGGCACGAGCAGGGACTGGGGAGGCCCTGTCCCAGTGAGCCGTGCAGGCTGAGGCCTCTGCTACCCGGCCCCTCGTCTTCGAACCCGACAGCCTGCATGGGACACCGCCCGGCCCACCTGTGATCTCCCGTCTTAGAGCCACGGGGCAGTTCCTTCCTCACCCACTTACTGAGTGCCTGCGCCATCCCAGGCGCCGTCCCGGGGCTCAGAGTACAAGCGAGAATGAAACCAACTCCTGTCCTCCTGGGGCTTCCATTCAGGTGCAGGGAGAGAGGACAGTACAGAGCAGACAGGTGGACGGTGCTCCAGAGGAGGGCGGGCCAGCGGGGAGAGGCCCTGAGCCTGGGCAGGGAGGGGTCCGCACGCCCCAGACAGGGTGGACCGAGGAGGGCCGACGGAGAGGCCGGTATTGGGTGGAACTGTGCTTACAGAGCCGCTTTTGTCCGGCAAGTGCTTGGTTTACTGCTACAAGGGTGCTCCAGACCCCCCAGGGCCCCTCCCCACCTGGCCTGCCCTCTCTCTCATTGTCCCCCTACTTCAGGGGCCTGGGGCAGCAGGTGACACATCAGGATGCAACCGAGATCCTCCGCAGCGGCCATCGGGGCCACTCCAGCCCACCTCCCAGCTTCAGTTCCCGTGTCTCCAGAAAGGGGCCCTCACCGACGCAGGAGCCCGGGGCAGGCAGCTCTGGGGTCTTGGCAGGAGGGGTCCCGGTCTGCGTGCTCCTCCCAAGAGGCTCAACAAAGTTCAAGGACATTGCTGGCAGCCTTCTGACTCACGGATCAGGACAGGCTTGCTGTTTACCAGCTCCCATCGGCCCAGCTCAGAGCGGTGAGTTGCCCCTTTTCCCCTCCAGAATATGCCACTGCATTCTCTCCAAGATCCTTAACGGGGCTGGTAACACTCGGAGTCTTGTGTGCCATGGGACCCATCAGTTCACCTGTCATTTATATTGAAATAAGATCCTATCTCCCTTGAAACGACTGTGATAAACACTCAGGGGCCCAGAGGCCCGTGGGCCACAGTCTGCCCACCACCGGCTTGGAAGAAAACCTGGGTCCACCTCCTTTCAGACCGAGGAAACCTTGTTTTGCCAGCCACGTGCGCAGGTCTCCTCTGGAACCATCCGACCAAAGGGGATAGGCAGGGCCAGCCACCTGTTTGCTCTGGGTTTGCACGTGCTTTTGATCTGCTCACATTTTAAGGCCAGCTGATGCTGACATCACCAAGGCAACTGGAATCCTGGGCGTCTGTTAACTAGGATGTGACGATGTGTCTCCCCTAGGGCCACAAGGATGGGCTAAAAGCATCCACGTACCTACAGACCCAGTTCCGTCGATGATGGCGGTCACGGTGGCCAGGGCGTGGGAGTTTCCCTTCAGACTTTTATGAGTCCCCTAGAAGAGAGAGAACACAAATGTGAAACACGTCCCAGCAACAGCAGAGGCAGGAATAAACCTACACCTCCTCTGACAATTCACCCAAATTACTTTGCAAAGCAAAATGTGGGGGTATTTCCATCAGAAAATTTAAGTTCTATTCCATCCCAATCTCACCTTGGAAAAAGATGCAAAGTTTCAAGTGCTTTTAATAGTAAGAACTCATCAGAAATACCTGTCCAAATATATTCTAGTTTGAAAAAGTTCTTAGAATTCTCTTCAGTAAGCAAATCTTTCCTCGGCACAATCACCGAGGCACCGTATCGGCCAGCGTGGAAAATGAGAAGATGAATGGTGTTTGTCCGGTCCCTAAGCTGTGCCAGTGCTAATGCCTGCGTCCACGAGTCTGCCTGGGGCTTTCTGTGCCGTGGGTGAGACGCTTCTGCAGTGTCTAATTAGTGGCAAGTGCCCGGGGACGGGTAACAGGGCAGGACCGAAGAAACCAACGGAGGGGGCACAAGTCCTAAATGAAAAACCAGCAGGACCTCTGGTTTTCAGAAAACACACATACAGGTTTGGGGGGAAAAAAATCACAAACTGAGGACAATAAAAGGAAAAAGTAAAGCAGGAAAAATAGTGCCTGGAAGCCTAAAACTGTACAAATAAACCAAAGCTTGTAAAATCCAAGTGCTTGTGTGTGTATGCATACATCTATAGTATAAAATAAAGCACACACACGGAGAGTTAGTCCCCCAGAATCCACGTTTTCCGGAATCGGTGAAAGTCCTTCCTCCGCCCTCTAACTCCATGAGGGCAAACACGCTGCTGGGCTGGTGTACACCCTTCCCGAATTTTCTGTGCTCACACAGACACGAGCTTGGACACGCTTTGTAAAGGCAGTTTTAGGAGCAGTCTGTCAACGTAAGGGTGGGCCAGAGCCCTCGTGGGGACGAGGAAGAGAAAAGCACCCCCTCCTTCCTCTTCTGCTCTCTGCTCACCTGTCAGGACAGGACTTCTGGTTCTGCCTGGAAGAAAAGAGCCTGGGATGCTGAAGACAGTGCATGAGGGCAGGCTGGTGGCTCTACGAGGGCCGAGGGCCAGGCTGACGCACTGCCCGCAGCCCTAAGAGAAGGGGACACGGGAGCAGGCGTGGGGACTGCAGAGGCATGGGCTTGCTGTGGTTTCTAAACAGGAGAGTGAGCTGGAGGCTGGTGGGTTCTGGGTCTGATGCAGAAAGGACTTGAGAGACGCCGAAGTGAAGAGGGGGCCACTGGAGCTGGCAGGAAAGTTCAAGGGCACTCGGGAGCTGGCTGGGGGAGGGGATGCAGGACCAGATGGCTGAGACGCCCGGCCGCCCTGCCCACAAGTCTGTACACCACTTCTGGGGAACTGCTCGTGATTTTAAATACGCTTTTAATTTTAGAATAGTCTTAGAGTCACGGAAAATTTGCAAAGAGAGAGCAGATTGTGGCAAACCCTGCTCCCACTTTCCCCTGTGTTAACATCTTACACCTTTCGGCTGTGTTTATCATGATGAATGACCCACTACCGATGCAGGACTCACGAAAATCTACACTGTATTCAGACCCCCTGGGTTTTTACCTCGTGTCTAATTTAATCTCTCTGTGTCCCAGGATCCCACCCAGGACACTGAATAACATTTAGTCGCTGTGTCTCCTGGGGCTCCTCTTGGCTGTGACAGCTTCTCAGACTTCATTTCTGGGACTTTCCTTGTTTCTTGTGATTGGATGGGGCGTGGGTTCTGGGAGGGGGACCACGGACGTGAAGGGCCGTGCTCATCGCCTCTTACCCGGCATCCGTGCATCAGTGCATCCCTGCTGGTGTTGATGGTGACCCCTGGCGGAGGTGGGGCTGCCAGGTTTCTCCCCTGAGAAAGTTACTCTATTTCCCCCTCCCCACGCTGCCCTCTGTGGGAGGACATCCCTGTACACAGCCTGCCCCTTAGGAAAGGGGAGGTGTTCTCCCTCCCCCAGGGCAGAGGACCTGCATAAACCCTTCTGTGCAGGACACTTGCCTCTTCTCTCCCGTTTATTTATGGAAACTACCTTCTGACAGGGGATTTTGTATTTCAGTGCAGTGTGTCCTTCAGATGTGCGCACGTGGCCACTGCCAGGAAATTGACTGTCTTTCCTATCAGGTGGATGAGACAGCCCTGCTCTCTCAGGGCCCCTACGGTCGACAGTCAAATGTCATCTGTAAGAGGCCTCCCCTCCAGGGAGAACTGGTCAGGAGTCCCTGTGGATTCCAAGGCCTTGGGTGGCCCTGCCGTGGCGTTCACCACCCTGTACCGGAACCATTTCTTTACCACGTTGGCCTACTACCTGGAGTATGTCCTTCCAGGGCCAGGACCCCACTGGGCTTGTCCCTGAAGTCCCCAAGACCGGCAGGGGGCTGGGCACAGAGGGGGCACCCGGGGTGGGCTGGACTGTGCTGAGGCCCCGAGCGGGGGCTCTGGGGCACACGGCCACCAGCCTCTGGGGCTGCCAGGGCAGCTCAGAGGAGCAAGCCAGATGCTGGCTTCGGACCTCGGGCCTCAGACCATCTCAGCCCACTTGTTTATGGGATGGGACTGCCATGTCCCCTTATTTGCTTCAGAAGACTCTTGGCATCCTTACTGGTCATCTGCAAAAGGGTGCTTATAGAAACAGACCGTTTTAGTAACAGAGACCACTGCATCACGATGGACGGGGTGGCCGGCCCGGGCAGTATCTGGCCCCGGCTCTGCGCTGAGCTGCCCACACTCACCAGGTCGGCAGAGACGGCGGTCGTGATCAGTGCGTATGGCCCGCTGACCAGGGCCCCGCTGAGGAGCAGCATGGCTGTGGGAAACAGAAACCGGGAAGTGGGGGGATTCAGCCAGCAGAACAGGGCCCTGCGGGAGAGCCTCTACCGTCTTAGCTACTCCCTAGGTGGGCATCCCGGCATCACACACGGGGTGGGATGCAGGCCGGTGTGGGGCGTGGCCACTGCTGGGGCAAGTGTCACAAACATCTTCCTTCAAACTTGCCCTGAGATGTCTCTAAGTCCAATCACACTTCCCAAAGATCCAAGCTCCCTTCAGAGGACCTGGTCCCCGCCTGCTCAAACCTGATGGGCAGCAGCTGTTGTCAAAAGCCAAGAGGAACTGAGAGCCCCGGCACCCGGGCACAGACGGGACCACAGACGTTAGTTACCACAGACGTGACGCGAGTGAGCGCCTGGATGCCACCACCAGCCACAGCCTTGTCTGCAGCAGACAGGGCTTCCTCTCTGCACCCACAGCTGCACAGCCCAGCTCCGCATGGGCGGGACCACCGAGCTCATAACCTGTCCCCTGGGCTCACTTTCCCAGACCATCCCCTGGTTCACATTCCTCTGTGCGGAAGCTTCTGGACCGAGGGGTCCCAGGAAACTCCACGGTCTCCTAGAATCAGGAACCTGCCCTCTGGGTAACTTCTAATGGGATCCCTGCCAATCCCCACTGCTGTCACGCAACGACAGAAGTGGTTACTCAGTGTCAGAGCCATGATTTGATAGCGCTCCTTGCAGGAAGTTAAAAATAGCAACTGTGCCCAGAATGGCAGCTGACAGAGCAGCTAAGAGGGGACGGTGCCCCTGGGCTGGTGATGCTGGGGGTGCAGGTCTCCGCAGCCCCGCCTGCTGCCTTCCGGGGCATGTGTGGCTTCTCTGAGTGCCTCCTGCACTGGGCACCCAGAGCTCCTCACCACCCCAGCCCAGGGGCCTGCACCCTCCCACGCTGGCCCTTAAACCTGAGGCCTCAGGTCCCGGAGCAGAAGTCTCTATGGGCCCCTCCCATCTGCCCCCCCATCCCCCAAAGAGGGCGCAGGGCCAATTGTAGCCACGTCGCACAAACTGCCTCTTTGTTGATTTTTAAGTTTCATTTCACAAGGCTGTGTGGACAAAAAAAAAAAAAATGTGTGTGAAAGTAAAGAGAGGCCTCATAGACTCACCGATGGTGGCTTCTAGACCCATTTTGCTGATGGCAGAGAATACATAGAGCTGTGAACGGTGTCAAAACCAGAGAAAGACAAAGGTTTACTATGACAAGCTGAGAGATTACCCAGGAATCTGTATTTCTGAAAAGTGATTCTCAGGCAGCCAACCAGACAGTGGAAACCCCTAGAAAGGAAGGAAGGCCACGCCGCCCTGGCAGGCTACCCAGAGTGCTCGGCAAACTGCCCCCAGGCTTGTCCCAGACACACAGGGTCTGATCACCCTGTGAGCTGGGAACCCAGGGGGGTGTCCCCACTCTGAGCTCCCAGGGGAGGGGCCTGGGTTTGGGGCAGCTCCCCCCTGAGCTCCGTGTCCCCTCCCAGGCTGTCTGTCCCAAACACCAGGGCACCGATTGGGGTTGAGGTGATGCCAGTTCCCAGAAACCAGAGCCCTGAGAGGAGGGGGCCCGAGAAGCTGGCGTGTGTGCTGCGGGGAAGACAAAGAAGCTGTTTCCAGAGGCTCAGGGGCCCTGGCGAGGTTGGGGGCTGGTCTCACCGTCGGGGCTGCAAGTAGCAGCATGAGGCCGCAGGTGGAGGCCCTCTTCCCTAGTTGATCGGAGATCACACCTGCCAGGACCCCACCTGCAAGGGAGAGGGGCGGTCCTGAGGTGCGTGTGTGGCCAGGGAAGGACCCCATGGAGAGGGAGCAGGACCCGCGTTGCAGCAGCGGCAAGAAAACGACCTCCTCTCTAGACCCGTTTCCACAGCCCGTGAACAGGAAAAGCCGCCTCAGCGCTGCTGACCCGTGACCCGAGGGCACCGAGGTCTAGGGGTCGGCTTTCAGGCTGGCCTCAAAGCCCCTTAGCCTGTGAGGGTCCCGACACCGCCCGTCTGTCGCCCACATGAGGCGTGCCCTGGTCCCCAGGGAGCACCGCTCACGGCCCAAGATGGGGAGGGACCTGCCCTCAGAGGCCCGGCTCGGGGGCCTCCCGGCTGGAAGTCCACTCCATGAGCGCGCGGGCCACGGGCGTTCACGCAGCGCCACGGCGGTGAAGGCTTCAGTCAAAGTAGAACAAAAATGAACTCACCGAAGATCCCGCCCACATCAAACAAGGTGGAGAGCTCGCCGGCCTTCTTGACATCAAGGTGATCTATTAACGTGACAGCAGAGCGTCACCGCAAGCACGTCGCAGCAGCGTGCGAGCCTCACACAACACTCTTTTGTTTCAGAAGCATGATTTAAACTAGGCAGCAGTTATTAGATCCATTATCAGATTAGTATCAAGGTAGTAATTACAGAGGAGAAGGAAGAAAAAGAGTCCACTCTGTGGGCAGACACACAGAAAGAATGGAAACGGAACACTCTTCACCGAAAGGTGAGGGTTCCCCGGCTCAGTCTAGCATCACCCCGCCTTTGCTCTGGGTCCCCCTCGGGGCAGCCGTGAAGTCAGACACGGCCCGAAGGCGAGGCAGGGCCTGTGGGGCACCACCTGGGGAAGGGGCTGGCCCGCAAGAGCGCCCTGGACACGGACCATAGGACCCCCAGCTTTCAGGCCGGGGGCAGCTGGAACTTTCTCCTCCAGAGGAGCAGACCGAGGTGTCCTCACGCTCAGCTCAGGATCCGTCGCTGGACTTAGCACAAAGCCTGAGCTTTAAATCTGGATTCCGGCTGGCCAGCGCCTGGAGGTTTGGGAGCCTCTGGACTGTGAATCAGGTCCTGCCCTTCCTAGAGGCCCGAACGGCACATACCGGGGACTCTGCTCTTTTTGAACAATCCCTCAGACGGTAAACGCCGGTAACTCATGATGTGAGCCCTTCGCAGTCATAGGAGACCGCTGGGCTGGAAGGTGCAGGGCCGGCCTCTCAAGCACCCACGTGTCTACACTGTGTGCGCCTTGCCTGCAGTAACGAGTGGAGGTCGCTGGCCCGGGAAGGAAGCTCCGAAGCCCCGCCTTGACGGGGTCCCTGCTAACACAGGGTGGTCCCCTCGCCGCCTCCACAACCTCCATCCCCGAGAAACTCAGCCCTCCGGCCTCGGGCTCACATCCACCTCTGCTGGTCCTACGACACTGCCAGGAGCTACTGGTCTGTACTCTGGAGCCCCCATGTCCCAAATGTCTCCTCTTTTCACGTTCGCTAGAGCCCGCTCCTCCGGGGGACCCTGGTTTCTTTGCTTTGTCCTCACACTCCCTGGCCCCGGGGCCCAGAGTGTGGGGCCCTCCTTGACCATCCCTGTCCCCATTTAGCTGCGGCTGCAGCCCCTGCACAGGACCTCTCCCCGGAGGAGCTGCCGGCCCCTGCCCATCTTCCCGTGTGGTCACGCACGGGACAGGGAGTGGGCGTCACTGCGGGGCGAGTCTGCTCTGTCAGAATCTCCAGCTTCAGCCCCTGCTGGACTGGAAAGGCGAGACAAACTGTCTGCTCCCCAGAATTAGAGCTCATCTCCACGAAGCCATTTCCAGGCCAGTTACTCAGCCTTTCTTATCTCAGATCCCTCAGGCCTCTGCTCCCGTTCACCAGCTGCTGTGACCCAAAGTCTGATGCAGCCTACATTTAAAAGCACGCTGCCCCAGATAGGAAGAACCCCATGGAATCTGTAGCCACAGCTGGGATATACCGTGTCAACCCTTTAAACCCCATCCAGGTTATCATTATGGCAATGAAACGTTGCTGTCTGAATTCTTTTTGTCTGTACATTTCTACTAATCATGTTGTTTGGTTCAAAAGCATCACACATCCCTATCCTTTCCAAGACTGTAGACACCAGTGGACAAAAGGGAGTCCCGATCACAGACCCTGCACAGAACTTCCCAGCTGTGATGCGAGCAACAGGTACTCACCTACATTTGTGATATACAGTGGAAGCCAGAAGAGGAAAGTATAGCTGACCAGCTTGGCAAACAGCAGACACAGAGAGAACTCTATCACGCCCTGAAAGAGAGAGAGAGCGGGATTCGCCCCGAAAGTGGACTCAGCAGGTTTGCTGAAATATGCAACAGAATTACACATGACTTCATTGCCATAAAAACAGCCCACATCTTGGGTCTGGTTTTAGCACCTTCAGATGCACGGATACTGTATTGCTGTGGAGGACATGAGCTAACTGGAGAACTGACCGACATGGACTCTTAACCTTTTAAGGTTGAAATTCAATGTCTTTACATCAGATCAGAGTCAATAAAAATACTACTGGTTTAATTCTCACACCATATCTCTCTGAAACTTAGCTATTAAAGGGGTTCTCAAAGGGCACAGATGTTGTGCAGAGTGATCTAGTTACTGAGTATTTATTGGCTATTTCTTTTCCCCCTAAAACTGAAATCACCGCAAAGGACAGAGATCTGGAAACACACAGCGCAAACAATTCCGACCGTCCTGTAAGATACACAGGCTACCTCCGCCTGCGTGGGACTAAGCAAACTAGTGGGTGTGGGGGAAACACCCACGGAACCAGGCAGAACCCTGCAACGCCCCCTCCCCCTCCAAGTACAAAGGCCCCTCCATGCCCCTGCCTCTTGTTTGTAGAGAAGATGAAGTCTCCCAGGCCTCCCTGAGTCACAAGGGAACAGGCCTGAGCAGTTAATAACTAGGATGACAGAGTCACATAATCTTTCAGTATCTGATGCACATTCGCGAGTTGTTTTACAGATACTGTAAGTGCCACCAGAGGAAAAAGCTGACTCTGCATGATGAGCAGACTGTAGCCATGACATAAGCTGCTCCATCTTCAGCAGCACTGGATCTACGGCTAGCACAGTTCCGAGAACTGGCCTCAAGAGAGTGGGATTAACACTATTGCACATAATAGTCTCTGTCTTTGTGGGCATCAAAATATTGGGTTGACCACAAAATTCATTTGGGTCTTTCCATAAGGTGCTATGGAAAAACCTGAATGAACTTTTTGGCCAAGCCAATAATTGTAGCTCGTTCGGTCCATGCACATAAGCAGGCAACTAAAATCGTCAGCAAAGAGGTGCCCCATGTCAACTTGTCCCACTCTGAGAATATGGCATATCCTATGTCAGCATGAAGAAGTCATAGAAGGTGGACCTTGCCCCATGAACCCACAGAAATGGGCTGATGTTCTGACAAGGCGGATCTGTCAGCAGCTTTTGGAAGGAAAGAGCTCTCTGCAGGGGATGCCCCTTCTCTCGTCACTTTAGCAGAGCTGTACTGCAACTAACCTTAAACCAGGCACCCCCATGGTCTACGCGTCTCTGGACTAAGCACACCTGTCAAACCTTTTGATCACACAATACCTTGCCTAACCTGTTGGTTCTTTCCTAGATCAAAGAAGTAAAAGTGAAGAATAAGTAATTAACATCAATGGACGACCAGATCTCTTCCTTAGCTTCCCTGTCCATAAGCCTGTGAACAAACTGTGTGAACAAGATAGCATCTAAAGAAAGATCACAAGTCAACAAGCCTGCACACAAGCCTGCACACACTGGGGGATGGTGACAACTCTGACCCCTTATCTCAAGGATTAACTGAGATTTCTTCTCCTTTTCTCTTTAAAAACTTTCATGGCCGAGCAGAATCTTTGGAGGTGGTTTTGGGGACATGAGTCCGCCTTCTCCCCGGTTGTCAGCTTTTCTGATTAAAGCGACTTTCCTTTCTAACCAACACTTGCCTCTCGAGTATTGATTTTTGAGGGCAAGCAGCAGAACTTGAGTTTGGTAATGCCCAAAAGGGAAACGTAGGTCTTGATGAGGATACTGAGGTTTGGAGTCTCATGGCTACTGTGTAATGCTTGTTTGTGTTCCATCTTATGTCTGCGTTTACAAAGAGGTGGCCCTTGTGAGACAATAAGTCCAGATATCACTTGGGAAATTTGAGTGAGAAATCGGGTAACACTAAGGTACTGACTCCCTCCCCTGCTCCTCCCAGGTTATACTGCATAGTTACGAACATCCCTCAAAACTAGGCAAAGCACACAATATGCAATTCATGTCAGTGCCTTTGAAATTAAGCAAGTTATGTTTTCACAGTCAGACCCAGTATGAGGGTGTGTGTGGGTGAGGCACTGCATGCTTACCATGTGCCTGGCATTGTGCTTATTGTGTAGTTAATGATCTCATTTGATCCTCAGACAGCATTAAGTAGAATTCAGGTCCTGAGCCTGTATTACAGTGAGGAAATGGAGGCTCAGAGTGGTTAACACCCTTGCCAGGCACACCCAGCTCATCTGCAGCAGTGCCAGGTCAGGCCAGGCCAGGGCTCTGAAGCCTGTTCTCTCTACCACCCCACTTCTATTTATAGCGTGCACCCTACTTTTTAGCAAAAGTATTTGAGGTGGCTACATAATAAGGTACAACAGAAAAGTTACTTGTTGTTATTAGCAACATTTAAAAAATAAATTTTATATTTAGAACCAGCATGTCCTCTGGCCAGCCCACAGAGATCTTTTTTAGTGACCCCAGGAGTCCAGGCCTTGCCTTCAACATTCTATTCTGGCAGGAGACCGGCAACAGGGTCCTCCACAGCCCAGTTTCATCTGGGCGCTGGCAGAAGTTTCTGTTCGAAAGCCGAAGTTCTCAGTTCTTTCATTTCTGGGCCATGATTCTAAGGCTCTGGGTGTACTGTTTAGTTTCCAGCTCCCACACGGTCGCTACGGAGCTTCTGGGTTCTCTCTGCTGGTTTTCCCCAAGGCCAGTGTGAGGGAAGCGATCTTGCTGTATGAGACCCACGTCTGTTCCCCTGGATAGGATGCAAGGGCAGGAGCCCAGGTGTTTCTGAGTGTGGCCCATGGGGTCGTCCATGCCGGCCCCCAGGGGCAGGGTGTGCTCCCTCCTCTCATCCTGCCTCTGTTCTTGGCTCTGTCTTCAGCACCCTCCACGGCTCCCCGTTAGCAGAACACAGCTCCTCAGAGTCCTCTGCATGGCTCCCCAGATGCTCTGCTGAGGGAGCCCATGAATTTCATATACATAATATACACATATAATATATTTTATAACTATCGAGAGGCTAACACAACTCTGCAGCCTTATTCATTCCTGAGCTGACCTGTCTGCAACTTCTGGTTCATGCTATGGATTTCTAATTTATGGATTATGTGATCCGGATAATCACGGATTTCTCTTTTTAAGCTTGGTTATCAACAGGCCAGTTTCTGTTCATAGTGAGCATAAATGCCCCTTTTTGAAACTCTCCTGGACACGTGTACTCACAGGAATTTTCAAGGCTCCTACGAAACTGATGGCTGTGATGCCGCTGCCGCCATCTGCCGGGAGAATGACCACGTGGTTCTGGTGGCCGGAGCGCTTTCCATCCGACAGCAGTAAGCACTGCATCTCTGGGTCCTGGAGACAGATCCCGTTGAAAAGATAAAAGAAAAGAAAAGAAAAGAAAAGGTGTCACCAGGTAGTCTATTTGGTTGAGGTGTGGTAAGCTGCTCCACTAAAGGTCTTGGGGAATGCCTTGGATAACATCCACACTGTGGCCATTGCTTTATGACCATTAACATTCACGTGGTTTTGGGAAATACTAACTAAAAGCACACAAAATCCTATCCTTTGACCCAACAATTCTAGGGCTCTGTGAAAAATAATTTGGGAAGTGGAAAAATACCTATATGATAAAATTAATGTCACACCATCACTGAGAAAAATTGCTAAAGTACATCCATATAAATATCTTGCAGTTGTAAAAAAAAAACAGTTTGTGAGATCTGATGACGTGGGAAGGTGCTTACGATACATTAAGTAACAAGACATCATTCAAAAGCACATTTTCATTACGATCTCAAAGAATGTTTAAATATGTACTTATGTAAGTAGGTAACTAAAGGATCTATTTATAGGGAGAAGCTAAATTCTAAACTGACAATGGTTATCAATGAATGGTAGAATTACATGTAATTTGTATGAAATGTCGATAAATTCTTTCCATGATCCTGTAGTTTTTAAGGAGTTCACAAAGGACATACATGATCAAAAACAATATTATTTTAAAATTCATAAACCAATTCCACTATTTCATAAATTCTGATTCCAGACATCCTTAAAGGGCAAAGTTTATCTTCATTAGGGCTTCCTTGGTGGCGCAGTGGTTGAGTCCGCCTGCCGATGCAGGGGACACGGGTTTGTGCCCCGGTCCGGGAGGATCCCACATGCCGCGGAGCGGCTGGGCCCGTGAGCCATGGCCGCTGGGCCTGCGCGTCCGGAGCCTGTGCTCCACAACGGGAGAGGCCACAACAGTGAGAGGCTTGTGTACCGCAAAAAAAATAAAAATAAAAATAACAGTAAAGAAGTAGCTTCTTGACATTTCTCAGTACCTGTCACATACATTAGACAGAAACTATCTCACATAGCAGAAATTATAAAGATCCACCTCCTCAGTGAGCGATGAGTATCTATATACTTAGATGTGGCTAGAACAGCAATAGCAAGACTAATATATTTATTTCAATTTTTGAGAAATATGGAATCTGGATCAGATAAGATCCCTTGCTTTTTAAGGCTTTACAAGTTTGTTCATTCATGTAAAATCCAGACAGTTTTAAAGTGTTTCTTGTAACCAAGGGTTGAGTTGTTGTGGCTTTTTTATATTCCCAAGATTATAGATTTAAATCCATTAAAAGATAATGTTCACTAGTGTTTGTGAGATTTGCTATTATTGTTTCCATCCTTCTATTCCAAACATGAATTAGCTTTTAAAGAAATCAGTTTTAGTCTGAAATTAAGACAGGAAGAATATTGTAAGGAAAATGAAATTTAATAAATCTCTTATTTTATAGAAGTTATAAAGAACCTCAAAGATTGTTGTGTTCATTTGGCAGTGAGGATTATGGTTCCCAGAGAGGTTATTGTGGCCAAATGGCTGCTGAGCCTGTGTGTCCAGAGCCTGTGCTCTGCAATGGGAGAGGCCACAACAGTGGCGGGGTGTTGTGCCCCAAAAAAAAAAAAAAAAAAAAAAAAAGTTTATCTTCATTAAAACAAAGAACAGTGGTCCTCAACTCTGGGGGGGATATCAAATCAGAGCAGGATGATCTGAAAGTGTCCTTCATGAGGGCACTATATAGGTCAAGGATTGTAAAAGAAATGTTTCTATGTATATTGGACTTACCACAAAACCAAATAGGTTTTATTGTACTTATCTCACTATAATCTACACGAGTTAGATTAAAAAAGGCAGTTAAATTAAAAAAAAATGACAGTGCATTGTGGTATCCCACTCTTGATATTAGAATTCTCTTCCGGTGAAAGACAGAAATTGGGAAACGGGCTGGCAGGCTACAGCAACTGCAGCCCTATGGGCACTGAGCACGCAGCGTCTCACCTCTCGGGCAGCAAAGGCTGCATCACCGAGAAGCCCGGCGCCCACCATGACTCAGGCATCGAGAACCGGCCTTTGGTGAACATGGTCGCAGGTAACCACGTGCTCTGATGTTTCAGGACGCAGAACATCCTCCTGATGACAATTCCGCAAAGGAATATGAGAACAGAGAATTATGATTTGAGTTTGGAAATAAAGTTTTCTCTCGTGAATTACGCCGGCTGTCCAGTGTAGGAGACGAAATCTTTAGTTCTCAACCCTGACATCTCCTGGGGGCTCTGAGAGACCCCAGTGCCCAGGCTGCACCCCAGACCAAATACAGCAGTCTCAGGGGCAGGCCCCAGGAGCGCCCGATGTGTAGTCAAGGCTGAGAACCACAGGACAGACTTTTTTAACACTAAGAGGTCTGACTGGTGGACCATGAAATGCAGCCAGATAAAGAGAAAAAAGAAAGTGAAAAGACTCTGCTCAGCCAGGACAGTAGTAATTGCAGGTCCAGCACAGAAACACAGCAGGTCACAGCCCTGGGTCAGCACCTGGCCCTTCCTTGTTCTGTAAACTGGGCTGGTTTAAAGCCTTGGTCCAGCCCCTCTGCTCTAAGCCATGAGCAGCCCCTCAGGCAGGCAGGGAAGGCCCTGTCTTCGTTGAGGATGGGCCTCCTGCCCACACCTGCTCATTCTTTATGCACAGTCTGGGGGGTGGGGGCCGTCCCAGCCACCCAAGTCGTCTTTTCCAGTGTCTGGAGGAGGCAGAGGGATGCGTGAGGTCATGGCGGGTTTTCCAAAGCAAATCAGGAGAGCAAGGCTGCCTCTTCCTCGGAGCCAACAGAGACCTGCTGGGAGGACAGGGCAGGGGAAGCGGTGTGCCTGGAGCCCCCGGGGGATCTGCTGGGATGGGGAGCCCTCAGTGGGCTGGGGGCTTATTCAGCTGGGGACCCTCCTCTGAGGTTTGTACATGCACAGAGTGAAAGGACTCCGTGTGATGAGGGCAAACGCACACGGGGAGTTTGCACGAATGACAGCTTAGCCCTGCCTCACCGCGTGCTGGCCTCAGATGGAGTCGCACTGGCACGCTGGGTGGAGAAACCTTCAGCATCAAAACACCCACTCAGCGGTCTTGAAGTGGCCGCTGAGCCACAGCCAATCAGAAAGGCCCTCAGAGGGGTGGGAGAGGGTTGGACTGGGAGGCTGGGGTTAGCAGGTGGAAACTGGTATATAGAGATAAACAACAAGGTCCTCCTGTAGAGCACAGGGTACTCTAGTCAATATCCTGTGATCATCCATAATGGAAAAGAATCTGAAAAAGAATATATATGTATGTATAACTGAGTCACTTTGCTGTACAGCAGAAACTAACACGACGTCGTAATTCAACTATATGTCAATGAAAATAAATTTTTTTTTTTTTTTTTTTTTTTTTTGTGGTACACGGGCCTCTCACTGTTGTGGCCTCTCCCGTTGTGGAGCACAGGCTCCGGACGCGCAGGCTCAGCGGCCATGGCTCACGGGCCCAGCCGCTCCACGGCATGTGGGATCTTCCCGGACCGGGGCACGAACCCATGTCCCCTGCATCGGCAGGCGGACTCTCAACCACTGTGCCACCAGGGAAGCCTGAAAATAAATTTTTAAAAAAGATAAACAAAAATAAATAAATAAAAAATAAGAACACAAAATGGAAAGAATTTAAAAAGAAAAAAAATAAAGAAAGACCCTCAGAGAAGCCAAGGATGACATGAAGGACATGTGACTACAAAGATGACAGAGGTGGACATCCCCAAGATGACATGATAAACACCCATGAGGGCTGGACGCAGGTCTGCCGCGTGGCAAGAGACCCCGGAGCCTCTTTCTCTTTGTTCACATTCTCTTCCTTGCCCACCCCCTTCTTTACGTATTTCCCCACGAAGTCTAAGAACCATGCCTGGCATAGAAGGGAATTAAGCAGTCCCAGCTGAAAAGCAGTCGTGATCAGGGTCCTCGGTAAGGCTCCACTCTGAGCCCATGGATATGAGCCAGGTCACTCTGGGAAAGGTGACACCAGTGTGTCTTGCCAAATGTGTGGGACATCCTGCCTGCTGACCCAGGAGCCACCTCCAGCACGTGAGCTCTCCACGCTACAGAAGGGCGGGGACCAAACAAAGCCTGGTTAGCGTGCAGGGGCCAGCTGAAAGGGGACACCCATCCACTGCGGCCAACACCTGCCTGGTCATGTCCACATCAAAGTCAGCCTGTGGCGTGGCCGGGCCTGAAACAGGACCCACGGGGGCCTCTAAATATGTAACTGTCTCTTTGGTGACATGTTAGTAAATAGACTTTAATAGAAGGAACAAAAAAATGGAAGAGGGAAGTTATGCTCAGAAGACAGAGCTAGCTTTACTGGTCAGTAACTACATTAGAACACAGAGCCTGGCTCTTGCCTCAGGGAAAAGATAAGTCTTCAGTAACAAGCGGAGAGGAGTTATAGCCATTTGGACATTGATTAAGACCTGATGCTATGGACTGACATTTGTGTTCCCCCCAAATCTGTATGTTGAACCCCCATCTCTAATATGATGATATTAGGAGGTGGGGTCTTTGGGAGGTAATGAGGCCATGTGGGTGGAGCTCGCATGATGGGATTAATACCCTTACAGGAAGACACCACAGAGAACTTGCTTCTCTCCCTGCTCTGCCACCTGAGGATCCACAGAGAAGGCGGCTGCCTACCAGCCAGGAAGAAGCCTCTCACCAGACATCAGACCTGCTAGTGCCTTGATCTGGGACTTCCCAGCCTCCAGAAACAAATGTTTGAAATGCGAGAAATAAATGTTTACTGTTTAAGCCACCCGGTCTAGGGTATTTTTGTTACAGCAGCCCAATCTAAGACACCTGCTTCTGATGCAAACTCAGAAGGGAGTAGAGATTTTAAAGCATTTCAGCTGAATTTCACTAAGATCTAAGAACCAAGATGTATGAGACACCATTTTTCCCTCTTCCATTATTTCAACCACCAGAAATAACTTCCTTGGACAATAAAGAAAAAATAGTAAGAAGCCTGTTTAGTACCTTTATCCTTTAAGCTAACTGATTTAAAAAGAAAAGAGGGGTTTCCCTGGTGGCGCAGTGGTTGAGAGTCTGCCTGCCGATGTAGGGGATGCGGGTTCATGCCCCGGTCCAGGAAGATCCCACATGCCGCGGAGCGGCTGGGCCCGTGAGCCATGGCCGCTGAGCCTGCGCGTCCGGAGCCTGTGCTCCGCAACAGGAGAGGCCGCAACAGTGAGAGGCCCGAGCACCGCAAAATAAATAAATAAATAAATAAATAAATAAAAATAAATAAAAAGAGAAGAGAATATCTTATACTTTCAAGAATTAAAACCAAACGTAAAATGCCCTTGCGGCTCCATGTGGTCAGCTAGGCAGAAGCAATGGGAGGAATTTCTTGGAAGGACAGTCATCCCTTGGTACCTGGGATCTATAGGGGGTTGGTCCCAGGGATCCCCTGCGGAGACCAAAATCTGCAGATGCTCAAGTCCCTTACGTACAATGGCTTAGTACAGTCAGCCCTTGTATGGGCGGGTTCGCATCTATGGATACGGAGGCTGACTCCATCTTGAAAGGAGGGGAGGGTGAGCCCAGTGCTGGGGAAGAGCCCTGGACTGCATCCTGGCCTCCCCACTTGTGAAGGGGCCCAGGCAGGGAACTGAGCATCTCTGTGCCTCAACTTCCCCTTCCGTATAACGGAGGGGCAGTGAAGGGGCGGAGGGCTGGAAGTTGACTTTTTATGTTGCCTTTGGGTTGCTCTTATGCCCAGACCACCTACGCCCTCTCCACCTGAAACTCCCTTGGGCCACGTGTGCACAGACTCACTCCTCACCTCCTTGACAGCTCCATGCAAAGCCACCAGCTTCGGGAAGCTCCCAACACCAGGCCTGAATTAGTGCCTGCTCAGTCCTCTGGGTGGCCCTGTCTGCTGGTTTTCTCTCTACCCCACACTCGTCCTGCCCGAGGATGTAAGTTCCACAGGACACTGGGATTGATGTCCATGGCACCGGTGCTGCAACCCTGAATGCTGCAGACAGGTGTTGGATGAATGAATCGCTTACAAATTGGATTCACAAACCAACAAAGGCAAACTGAAGAAATACAAGACCCTGGATGTCTGTGACAGATGTCACTGAGGCAGGACTCTGCCTTCTTGCCAAGCGGCCTCGTGTGCAACTCACCAGAGGTTTGTTCCTCTCTTCGGTGAGCGCTTGCTTCTGCAGCCGAAATCTGTGCGTGCCGTTCTCGTAGCCTTTTGGATGCTGGGAGAAAAAAATTTAATTAGAGCAATTACCGAATCAATGGACAGAAATTACACCTAAACTCACTGCAGCAAGGACACTAAATATCTTCACAAAAATGCTATCAAGGGAAAATAAGACAAATAATTAAAACAAAGGCTAATCAGTTTAATCTCAAGGCTCCAGACCCTCAGATAACAGAGGATGAAAATAAAACCCTTTCCTGAAGAATAATCCAAGACCGAGGAATAAAGAAACGTAAAACTGCCGATGAAGGAAACTTAACTCTCCTTAATGGCTTTGACATTTCTAAACGACTTTTCCTCTAACCAGTGAAAAACAGAGTCCCTTCCTACAACAGCAGATTGATTTAGAAGGAAGACAACACCCTCCACATAGAAGGAGAGCATGGCTTGCCGGACAAGACAGAGCTCAACCACTGGGGCCACGGTGTGCGCGCGCTAGTGCGCGCGCGTGTGTGTGTACAATGAACGTATGTTTTAATTTCTCTTGGATATACCTAGGAGTGAAATTGCTGGGTCACATGGTGGCTCTATGCTTAACCTTTTGAGGAATTGCCAGACTGTTTTCCAAAGTGGTTGCATCATTTTTACATCCCCACCAGCAGGGTATGAGGGTTCCAGTTTATTATTATCTGTCTTTTTGATTCTAGCCATCTTAGTGGGTCTGAAGTGGTATCTCATTGTGATTTTGATACTTTCCTGGTGGCCAATGATACTAAACACCTTTTCATGTGCTTACTCGCCATTTATTTATCTTCTCTGGCAAAATGTCTCTTCAGATCCTTTGCCCCTTTTTAAACTAGCTTGTCTTTTTATTACCGAGTTCTAAGTGTTCTTCATGTATTCTAGATACAAGTCTTTCATCAGATATATGATTTGCACATATTGTCTCCCATTCTTTGGGCTGTATTTTCACTTCTCAATGGTACCCTTTGAAGCATAAAAGTTTTAAATTCAGTGAAGTCCAATTTATCTATTTTTCCTTCCACCCCTTGTGCTTTTGGTGTCATATAGATCTAAGAAGGCTTTGCTTAATCCAAGGTCATGAAGATGTCCTCCTCTATTTTCTTCTAGGAGTTTTATAGTTTTAGCTCTCACATTTAGGTCTTTGATGCATTTAAATGTTGTGTACGTCGTGACGACCACTTTCAAATTCACTCTTTGCCTGTGGATACCCAAGCTGTCCCAGCACCACGTTAAAAAGATTATCCTTTCCCCACTGAATGGTCCTAGCGCCTTGTCAAAAAACAATTGACCATAAGTATGAGGGTTTAATTTCTGAATTCAGTTCTATTCCATTGATCTGTATGTCTACCCTTATGATAGGAATACAGAGTCTTGAATACTGCAGCTTTGTAATAAGTTTTGAAATTGGGAAGTGTGCATCCAACTTTGTTCTTTTTCAGGATTCCTTTGGCTACTCTGATTCCTTAAATTTTCATATGAAATCAAGGATCGGCTTGTCAATTTCTGCCAAGAAGCCAGCTGGGGTTTTGATATAGATTACACTGAATCCATAGATGAATTTTGGGCAGTATTGCCCTCTTGACAGTATTAAATCTTCCTGGCAGTGAACACAGGGTGTCTGTTCATTTATTTAGGTCTTCTTTAACTTCTTTCAACAACGTTTTGTAGTTTGCAATGTATCAGTCTTGTACCTCCTTGGTTAAATTTATTCCTGAGTTTTTTTTTTGTTTTTTTTTTTTTTTTTTTTTGCGGTATGCGGGCCTCTCACTGTTGTGGCCTCTCCCGTTGCGGAGCACAGGCTCCGGACGTGCAGGCTCAGCGGCCATGGCTCACGGGCCCAGCTGCTCCGCGGCACGTGGGATCTTCCCGGACCAGGGCACGAACCCGTGTGCCCTGCATCGGCAGGCGGCCTCTCAACCACTGCGCCACCAGGGAAGCCCCAGTAATGTTTTTGTTTGTTTGTTTGCTTTTAATAAGAGTCCTTAGAGTTTAGAAACATATACTGAAATAGTCGGAGTCAAAATGATGATTGGTATTTGCTTACAAAATAAATTATGAGGAGACGGAGGGAGTATTAGAAGGGGTACTGATGAAATGAGACTGGCAGGTGATGGGCACGTGCGGGTTCATGACACTATTCTTTTTACCTTTTTACGTGTTTTAAAATTTCCATAACGAAAACTTTAAAGAACTGGAAAAGATAAGAACTTGATGCTGAAAATAACACCTTCAGATGGGAAATTCCCAGGACACGGCCCTACTTAGAAGTCAGCACCTGTGAAATGTCTTGCAAGTGCATCCGGCTTTGCACAGAAGCTCTGCTTATGATAAGGGGGAGGTGCAAAAGGACAGAGCAGACAGAGAACCAGCCAAGCTTGCCCTCAGGTCCCCAGGCTCTGGGGCCCCTCGAGAAGGCCCTGTGACACCAGTCTCTCCAGGGCCCTACGGGAAGTGAGTAGAGTTCCTGTGGGAAAGAGAACTTTGGGGCTGTGGCGGAAGCTGATGAAACGCCCCCAGAAATCAGTCCAATCTCTCCCTCTGACTGACCCCTGAGGGGAAGAAAGAGGAAGAGGAGCCCCAGCTCTGTGGGCCACCCTGCCCCATGTATCCTGGGGAGGCTCAGCGAGCTGTCAGGGAGGAATCAGCGGGGGAAGATGACACAGCTTGGGCCCCAGGTCACACACACAAGTGCAGGAATG